TGAGCTAGAGTCTGATGCTTAACTTACTGAGCCACCAAGGCACCCCAGAAAAATATTCTATCACTTCTGTCCACATTGCTTTGTCTATAATAGTGACATAGACCCACCCTAACTGCAAAGGGGCCTTGCAAATGTTATATCCCTATGCTCTTGAAGAGAGGAAACTAGAATGTTAAACATCTACCCAGTTCCATCTAAATAAAAGGAAAAAAATGCTGTTTCATAAATCTCCCTACTGAGTCTGTTTCTATACAAAATGACTATCAGCTAGAATTTCCTCTGAAACTTTGACTTAAGCAGAAAGAATACTGAAGAGGAGAAATTACAGTCTTATGTACTACAGTAAAAAAAAAAAAAAATTAGCTCTACTTTGTTGATTACCTTTCTTTACTCAAGAGAGGAAGATAGTATATATGAATTAATACAGGGAATAGAGGGAGTTAAAGGACAAACATATCACTGTTATATAAACTATAATTGTATAGAAATTGTCTTACTTGAAAATTAACCATTTTCCTAGCATGTGAAGAGTTGAAAGCAATAGCCAAAAAATAAATATATAAATAGATTACCAACCTAGCCCAATTATTAACTAATAATCAATAAAATGTGAGTCTTTTATTCTTAATTATGATACAGAAATGATTTAGAAAAAATTTGGAAGACAAGTCTGTGTGCAATTTCGGCTTTTATTTTAAGGAGATAATTTTCTTAAAGCCTCTTTTTGCTTTCCTGTGAAAAAAATGCATTTCATTAGGGAGAAGTACAAATGCATTTTCAATATTCTAGATTCTCAGTTCTTTTTCATTATTCTGTCACTACCTTGGGTGTGAAGTTGGTCTAAATATTAGCTACAATAATTGGTCTTATATTTCACCATCTGAACCAAAATTGTTAAGGGCCATGGAGGTAATCCTTCAATAAATATTTAGTATCATTAAAAATACAGGTTAGGGGCACCTGGATGGCTCAGTCGGCTAAGTGTCTGACTTTGGCTCAGGTCATGATCTCGCTGTCCGTGGGTTTGAGCCCCGTGTCGGGCTCTGGCTGACAGCCAGCTCAGAGCCTGGAGACTGTTTCAGATTCTGTGTCTCCCTCTCTCTCGGCCCCTCCCGGACCTGTGCTCTGTCTCAAAAATAAATAAACTAAATTGTTTTTAAAAAAATATAGGTTAAATTGTTTAATTACCAAAATATAAACTGAACGGCTGAAATCATACATTTTGATCATTTGGTAGATTTTACAAATTTGGAAATTCCATCTAATAATTATATATCTATAGATTATCCAAGCTTAACAAGAAAGAAAAAATCAAGCATTAATTTTTGTACATTATAAACCCTGGTAGACAAGTGCTCAAGTGTGGGGTCCTTGGAGGAGAAAGTCTGGTAGTTCTCAGCTTCAAGCTGGAAGCACATTATTTTCTTTATGTTTTCCATCAGCATCTACATGACAACCCCAGAAGCAGAAAGTCTGAGATTGAGCAATAACATTTATGAGTCTTGTCACTGTCTCTCTCTCCCTCCATCTCTCTCTTTTAATGGTGATTCCAATGTAATGGGATCTACAGGATATAATAATATTAAGAGATGTAAACTGTCCTAGGTTCTTGGTTGAGACTCCCTTGTAATAAAAGACCAGCAGGAGAAAAACAAACAAGTTTATACCCCTGTCTATATGGGAGATACCCAATAAAACTGAATAACTGGCAGAAATTTCCCAAATCACTACCTTAAATACCATCTCCAGCTAAAGACAAAAGATACTGGTGGGAGGCAGTTATAGGAAGTTATCAAAAAAAAGTACAAGAAACAATGTTGTGGTTGTTACACATTTAAGTCAATGCCTTCCCCACTGATGAATTTCTCATGATTTAATCATCATTGTCTTCCTGGTACAGAAAACATAAGTGCTAATCTCTGCTCTGTTATCAGGTTTGTAAGGACACATAATACTAGCATTTCTGGGCCATGAGGCAAACATTTATAAATTTTTTTAATGTTTTTTTATTTATTTCTGAGAGAGAGAAAGAGTGAGCAGAGGAGGGTCAGAGAGAGAGGGAGACACAGAGTCTGAAGCAGGCTCCAGGCTCTGAGCTGGCAGTCAGCAAGAAGCCCGACACAGGGCTGGAACCCAGGAACCCTGAGGGCATGACCGGAGATGAAGTCGGAAGCTTAACCAACTGAGCCACCAAATGCCCTGAGGCAAAGCTTTAATAAGCTGAGGGAAACAGAGTACATCACTAGGTTTCCAATTGTTTTCTCTTAAAATCTGAGTGTGCTCAAAAACTCCAATAACTTCCCCTCACTCTTAGAGTCAAACAAAACAAAAACAAGTATGTTTGGAATGTCCCCAAAGTCCTATGAGATCTAGGTTCCTGTTATGTTTCTCAACACCTTTCCTTTCAACTCCACCTGCGTGATCCTCTTTTATTTCCAGATCCATTGCACGGGCTGTTTAGAACCCTTGGATAAACTTTCTTCAGGTGTTGCAGGAGGTCACCTATAGGGCATGACCACAGGTTGACCCTTAGATAGATCCTGGCAATTAGAGGCTCCTCAATAGAGTGGGAATTAGCACCTGTATTTTCTGACTTTTGCTTATACATTATACCCCATATCATCATTCCTCTTCATTACATCACTCAGAGGAATTTGTGCGCAGCCATTGTTCAACAGGGGTGATTTTTAATTAATTATCACTATTCCAAGAAGTTAATGCAATTTAACTTGCCTTGTGAAATTCAGAGGAAGCATGATTTTAAATATATCTCTACATGGAAACCATCTCTATCTACATCTATTTCTATCTCTCCATCTATCTATTCAAACACATATGTGTTTGTACATGTATATGTATTGAATGCACATATATGTGTGTTTTATATGCATATATCACACAGACAGTTTATTTTTTTAATCAATTTATAGTGTTTATTCTTTTGAAAGAGAGACAGAGAGACAGAGCATGAGCGAGGGAGGGTCAGAGAGAGAGGGGGAGATACAGAATCCAAAGCAGGCTCCAGGCTCTGAGCTGTCAGCACAGAGCCCGATGCGGTGCTTGAACCCATGAACCGTGAGATCATGACCTTAGCTGAAGTCAGATGTTTAACTGACTAAGCCACCCAGGCACCCCCATACATAAAGTTTAAATATGTATGTAAGAAATGTTGGGAGATATATTTAATATAATATTTTAATTAATGTCATATTGGTATATATGCATATATGTGTTTATTATACTTATAGGCTTATATTTATGAACGGCATATATAAATATATCTAAAATATGTTTTTATTTTTTATTTATTTATTTTTATTTATTTCTAGGAGAGAGAGAGAGACAGCGTGAGCAGGGGAGGGTCAGAGAGAGAGGGAGTCACAGACTCTGAAACAGGCTCCGGGCTCCGAGCGGGCAGTCAGCACAGAGCCCGACGCGGGGCTCGAACCCACGAACCGCGAGATCATGACCTAAGCAAAAGTCGGACGCTTAACCGACTAAGCCACCCAGGCGCCCCTAAAATATATTTTTAGATGAACTGCATCTAAAAAATCCCCATGTCCCCTAGGTCTCAGCTGCGACCAAGTAAATCTTAGTATCTGAGAGTGGTCTCTAAGAGCTTAGGTGACGTTACGGTGATCCAGGTGATTCTAATTTGCTAGCAGGGTAGATGAATATTCGGGGCAGGGGCATAGGAGAGAGGCAAGGCTCTGGCACTGCACACACAGACTGAGGCTTTGGGCTCAAGAGAGGAGGAACTTCATATAACATAATTTCCAGACGCCAAAGTATGTTTAATTATGTTAACATTTATTTTTTATAAGCTTTCTTTGCTCATATGTACATAGTTACTGCAATAAGTTCTATATTAAAGTATGGGAAATATTTTTCCATAAATATCTCCTTTAAGGTGCTATCACTCATCTGCTTCCTATTTGTGTGTGTTCTTTCAAAATGCAATCAAAATGTTGCTTCTATAAATCCTTTTGGCCAATGATATGTGAGTCTGAATTACTTTTCGAGAGGATATTTGAAAGCCTTTCACCCAAATTGTCCATTTTGAAGAGCACTGTAATCAACTATTGCAAAAACAGAGAAGATTGAGAAGATAGACATGTTTCAGTACATTGTTTAAAAGCCAACAATTTGACAAGGGCTGTTACAGAGAACTCTTGTTTGTACTGAATGGACGCACATGCACAACACAACAAAATAGGCGTGGGGTTTCTTCAAAAGACATTGAGTTCCTGGAATGCTTGATCTGGGAGTTAGGATTTTGGCTGAAAATACTGCTGTGAAACAGTCTGGTTGAGATAGTTTTTAGACCATATTCAATATTTTATGATTTTCTGCTTATTTTATTGCAGGACATAAGTTATTAGTTATTAATCCAATGTATTAGTTAGGAGCCAATGAACTAATGCCCTTCGTAGAGAGAAATACTTAAGCTTTCGCTTTCTCCTTCTTATTCTAGTCACAGATGGTTCATAATCTTTTCTTCACTTAAAGAATTTTGATCCCTGTGATCACAAACCTTTCCCTATTTTCACTGCCTGCCCATGGGCCCTTCATTCTGTCCTTCATTTTTCTGGTTTTATTTTTTTTTAAGTTCACTTATTTATTTTAAGAGAGTGAGCACATGTGGGAGCAGGGAGGAACAGAGAGAAAATCCTAAGCAGGCACATGCTGTCAGCGCAGAGCCCCACTTGGGGCTGGATCTTCCCAAACTTGAGATCATGACCTGAGCTGAGATCAAGAGTTAGAAGCTTAATCAATTGAGAAATCCAGGTGCCCCTGGTTTTATTAGTTTCTGAACCTCCACAAAGTGGGGCTGCAGCATCAAAGGTGAATATACTTACGTGGTTGATCAAGAGGAATGGAAGAGGCGGGCTCAAAGTCAGATCCAGGTGTGGGCCGTCACCGCCAAGCACAACCTCAGGGAGTTCTGTGCGTGAGTCGCACGTAAGTTTTAACTTCTGGAACTTCTGGTTCCTAGGCCCTCAGTTCATCAGCTCTTCGTTCAACCCATGGCAGACACTGCATTTCCTCCAGCTCAGCTCCAGCAGGTGATGGTCCCATAATCTCGGCTGAACACATCCATTGACTTTTGTTGGGAAACTTCCTCAACCCTGGGAAGGAGGTAAGACGGTGGGAACCATGGCCCAGGGGCTTGAAGGGGAAACAGAACACATATTCACTGTCTTAAATTATGGACACAAGTACATGCCTCCCATCCAGCTCAATTTGAACACTATACACACATGACAGTTAACACCAGAATACAATCTCAATGCAGTTCTTACCTTTACTTTGTCAAAATTTTAGAAATAATAGGCTCAAAACCATGAATCACCGAAGTAGTAATTAGTAAAAGTTCATTGTGCACACACCCAAAAGACGACTCACCAAACCAAAACATGGAATAAGGCTCTGGGATATATTGTTATAAAGCAGCTTATATAGTGAGAAAGCAGTGACTGTTTATTCTTAGAATTTTCTTGTGTGATAGAAAATTGGCCAATGTTTACTTCACATCAATTTTTGGAACCGGTGTACGTTTTGTTTGTCATTTCCAGAGGCATAACAAGAAGTGACCCATGCCAAGTTAGCCTTGTAAAATAAGCTAAATTAAGCATTGCATGTATGATTACATTGGTTTTGTCTGCTCAGGGCACTTTCAAGTCTGGTGTCTGTTTTTTATTTTAATTACTTCTTTATATTCAAGAAACTGATGAAAACTGTCAGCAATACAAGATGGAGGGTCAGCTGTTTTGTTGATAATATAGCTCTTCCATCATATCGGCTCATTGTCTATCGTTCATCAGCCATTTTAGGTTTTTAACTGGGGCTAGCTCTGTAGTTTGTTTGGCCGCTGGTATACAAACTGGAGACTCCTGAGTCTTGTTTTCAATGATTAAATTCCACACTTTCAACAGTCATTATCGCCTGTATTACCATGCTTTCTGTTAATGGTGTTCCTACTTTGATGCTCTGTGGAAATCAGCAGTATTTCTTATGCTCTTTACACGCTGGTCTGTGGCATATATCTGAATGTACTGGTAAAGCCATTCCTTCTTAAAGTTAATATGTTAGTGCTGTGGGAGACTTATAAACTACCATAGAGTTTACCAAATGAGAGTGTCTTTTACATTATACAAAATAATTGTCTAGGAGTCCTTCCTGAATCACCCAGGTAACAATTCTATTGGGTACAGCAGTCTGGAAATTTACTCTTTAATAAGCACAATCCTATCCTCCAGCAGATAAATTCTGAGATTTATATAATAAGCCATAATTACTTGAATTTAATATATATTTACTCAGTTGGAATTATAATTGTTTCTAAATGCATTAAAGTATAAAGTGAAATCTATACAAACAGGTGAAAAACAGATAAGCACACTTTATTTTTTTTTTCTCCTTATAAATATCAGTGTTGGTATGAGCAGGGGTGGAGGGTCATGAAGCACAGTAGGATGTTAAGTACCTTTGAAAGCCTGGGAGTAAATAGCAGCTGAGGAGAAAAGATCACAAAACGGAGTCTGGATGTACCGGGGTTAATTTTAGATGTTATAAAACTACATTCAGACATAAACACCTAAACAAAATTCACATTGTATAACATGAGGAAACGGTTTTTATCCACATCAGTATATACAATGATGACAAATCATAAACTTCCAAAGGTAAAATCTTTTGTAAACATAAGGGATGCGGGTATAAGAAAAGGAAATTAAGAAAGTAATACAGCTGGCCCTAATTGAACTTAGAGTCTTTAATGACAGTTTTCTAATAATTAGAACTCAATATATGTTTCTCTCTGGCCGCAAACTTGGAAACGCTGTCTCAGGGGAAACAGTAATTCTTAAAATAAAAACTTAGCATACGAAACAGAAGAATATAATGTAACTGAGAGTAAGCTTGTTCTTCCCACCATGGGAAAGGCCGATAAGAAGCAAGATTTTCAGGAAAGCATTTTGATTCAGGGACACTCGCAGACAGAGGAGATGGCCAATTGTTGTCCTAAAGAACCATCTTAACTCAGCATAAAACTTGAGTTTCTCTTACCGTAGGAAGAGCATGAAGCAGGAGGAAATTGGAGTCAGGAGATGACTCATGTCTGTAGATACTTAGTTGCCTGCAATGGTCCGAGGAAGGTTGTGTCAGGGTCGGTTTTCTGTCTATGGTCGGTTGATCTCTGTGTCCAAAAATCTGGTCCTGTCATTCTAGTAAATGTTAAACATGACAGGGTTTTCTCTGTAGGTGCTTATCTCTTCCGGTGGGGTAAGTTTGGAGTGAGCTATTTTCACAAAACTTAAATGTTAGCAAAATCCCTTCAGTGATTAACAGGGCTTTCTGCAGAGCTGAGCAGAAGTATGGAAGCCTTAGGTGATGGCAGTGACGGTATAGCAACATGGAGTTGCTATACATCCCAGTTTCAATAGCAGGAGGTTCAAAATTATACCCGACTTGTTCTACCTCAGGAGTGTTTTCTATTCTCCGTATTTTTGTTATATATTTAATACAATTCTCTTTTGGGGGGAAGGAGGGGGTAGATTTTTTGTTAAACAGACTATGAGCACTGGAGTTCTATGTAACTGATGAATCACTCAATTGTACACCTGAAACTAATATTACACTGTATGTTCACTAAGTGTAATTTAAATAAAAACGTGAAACTAAACAAAAACAAAAAACACCTAACATTTCTTCCAAAAAAAAAAAAAAAATCAGAAAACTGAGGTGGAAATGTTTATCAGAAAATTAAGAAAAACGAGTCTAAAAGATACAAAATATTCCCTTCTAATATTTTTATAAGATATTTATTATTCTATATGTCATAATAATTGCTTCCATTATAAACTAAAGAACAAAGCTAGATGTTACTCTGTAGGCCATTAATTTTCCATGACATTAGAAAAGAACTTGTTAAAATAAGGCGAATAACACTTTCAAGTAGGTAGGTATATGATTTATGTCAACAGAAAAATAAAAATAACTTATAATTACTTCTTCTGGAAAATGAAGTAAAATTACATTTTTAAAGAATACTTCCCTCTCAACAGTCAAAAAGCCTTCAATGCATCCTTTCTGTGTTTTGGGTTATATCAAAATGACAACAGCAACAGGCAGAAAACTGCTGAAGTTTACACTGTCTCCTAATTTAGTCTCTGCTTAAATGGCATAGGCGTTGGAATGCTTAGTGAATGCGCTGTAATAGTCTGTCCTTAGGAGCCAGGATTGTTAATCTCTACAATCACCCAATGTGTGATTATGTTCTCTGTTAAAAAAAGAAAATTGGAAATGGGTGGGAAAACGGCATTTTGGAGTAATTGAGATTATGTTTATTCACAGAGAGTCTTGTTTTCCTTATGTGCTGCCAGACATCTGGATAAAGGCTGAAAATTTTAGCAAAATATTAACATCTTTCCAAGTATCTAAATCTTGATTGCATTTTGATGTTTCACTCTAAATATTTGATGAAACTTAGTTTTATCTACGAAATATATACTGTTGCCTATTATCTCTGTGGTATTTTCTCTAGCATTCCAAAGTTAGCATACTATCTGATTTGGATAGAGACCAGTGAATAAATGATGGAATTTAAGAATTGAAAGAGATAAAAATGTTAGTCAAGCTTCATATTTGTGGCTGACAATCTTAAGTATTTTTGTAAATCATATGTTGGCCTTTGGGTCCAAGGATGACTGGAACCTGTTTCTTGAACAGTAAATGCCAGCCCCCCCCTTTTTTTTCCCCTCAGTGAAACAATCCTAAAAGCTAAAATCATGAGTTGCGCCTGGGTGGCTCAGTCAGGTAAACGTCTTAACTTCACCTCCGGTCATGATCTCCCGGTTTGTGAGTTTGAGGCCCGCATCAGGCTCTGTGCTGGCTTTGCAGGGCCTGCTTGGCATTCTCTCATCACCTCTGCCCTCACTCACTGTCTCTTTCTCTTTCTCAAAATTAATAAGTAAACCTTAAAAAAAAAAAAAAAGAAAAAGAAAAACTAAAACCATGAGAATTAAAATGATTACTATGTAGGACAGTTTTTAAAGTTGTACTGCTTGGAATAAAAGAATAGTTGATGTTAAAATATGGAAATCCAAGATTTTTTTTTCTACAGATAAGATTTATCACTGATATCCAATAAAATACTTATGGAACTGTAGAAAAATCAGATGAATTAGCTGTATAAACCAATTTTTATCTCTATTCTGATGTATAAATGAAATTGGAAAATATATCCCGTTCCCTTTAATGCAGAAATAGAATTACTAGTTAACAAGTGAGCTTAGAACCCACTTAACTTCTATGATATAATGGAAAAAATAGAAAGGTCAGCATCAGGGAAAAATAACTTTAAAATATCAAGAAATACTCTGCTTACTATCATAGAAGCCTATTCAAAATTAATACATAAACTACGTTCAACAAATTTGCAGTAATATTTGTCTCTAGATAAAACCTTATAGATACACACACACATATACACACATATATATGCACACATACACACACATATATGTTAGAGAATAGGTATTTAAAAACAACACAGAACACTTCAAAAAAGAGTGACCGTCACTATTATTTTAGTAGTCATGGAACATATTATAACTTTAATCTTAAAATAGTACTACACTAGCAAGAAAAAAAATCACGAACAAGTAAAACAATAGAGCATGCACAAATGTATTACAATATATGTAATTGTATGGTGTACTAATCACTTTTTGACAGTGAGAAAATTATGAATTGTGTATGAAAGCTGGGAAATGAACTATTGACATAGAAGTTTGAAGAGTTAAAAACTTAATTAAAAGTTGCAAGAAAATCTAGAAGAAAACAGTTTGAGTACAGTCAACAAATGGGTAAATCTTGAAAAATCTAAACCTGAAGAAACAGGATCTTCTCAGGAAAAAGTAGACTTGTGTGAACATTAAAACTATCTGTATGACCAAATATACTATTGAAAAATCATTATTACAGTTGATGACCTAGGACATGAGAATGACAAAGGACTGCCATCTATAACAACAAGGACACTTCCTACATTTAAAGTGATTTTTGGGGGTGCCTGGGTGGTTCAATTGGTTAAGTCTCAGACTTGAGCTCACATCATGATCTCAGGGTTCATGAGTG